ATAGAAGGACTGAGCAGACAGCTGCTGCAAAAGAAATATGCCACATCAATATACTATGAAAATATATAATATATTCCATAAAGTTATGAAAATATGATTCACTTTATTGGATTCATGTACAAATTCATATTTACCTGCACTCCAGCAAATATTGGCCTATTTAGGCAAATTTCTGATTATTTGGATTATAATGGCAAAGGCTGGAGAGATTCTATATTTTTCCTGAGGCTGAATGCCACAGAGGGTAGGGCCTATTGAGAGACAGACTAAAACATTGTTTGTTTTAGTCTTTTCATGGGATTTGGGATTTGTTGTAAAGCTAAACACAGAATAGCAAAAGCCTTATCCTTTAACACCCTGGAATAAAGATTGTATAAAATCAAATCAAATCAAATAAAACATTTCATACCAAGTAGACATCCAGTTCAGAGTCTGATTGGCTCCTGCTGAGAGACGGCAGAGGATCATCCAGAGCGATCGTTGAACTGGAGGCTCGTCTGCCTTCACTGCAACATAAGAATACAAATAAATACAGTTAACATGTACTGAGTGATTGAACAAGAGACTAAATAACTTAAGCTGAATCAAGGTTAAAAATATCACTGAATTTCAAAATAAGATAATAATGAGAAGTTACACAAAATGAAGAAAAAGAAAAATGAAGCCCACACACTTGATCAGGTTCTCCTAATACATATATTTTTTATATGCATTTTTACCACATGGGCCTTTTTCAAGAAAAAAATACAATACTTTACACACAAATATCATGAAGTGATCAAACAATCTTAACTTTTCTAAACTCCTGGAAAACTGTCTTGTTAACAGACAGAGCTTAGATCTGAAAGCTGCAGACAGTAAAGTACCTGTTCTCAGTGTCCTCTTCATCATTTCTGCTGGACTGGAATGAAACAGCAGATCTTGGCAGAAGATCTGGTTGCTTGGAGGAACTGTAAACTGTTGCAAAAAGCAGAGGAAATATAAAATGACGCAAAAGAAATTTTCAAAAAATGTTGGCTGCTACATCATATAAAATGTGAGCCTACAGTTTCCATCCAGGTTGTCCATGCTTTGGGCCTTCTTGTCCTCCTTCTTCTCCTCCTTATGTGGGGACAGAATCTCCTGAGAGGCTGACTTTACTGTATAGAAGGAATTCCTCTTCCTCTTCGAAGATGCTCCTCTTAAAGCTGAGAGAAACAAAGAGAGAGACTATTAAATATAGAATATGCTGAATGCAGAATACAGGGTTATGTATGTGTGACGACTTACGATGAATCTTTTTAAATACAGTCGAGCCCATGAATTTCAGAAATCTATCCGCATAAAAACTGGGCCTGTGAACCGACACTGTGTCCTAAAAAGAAAAGAAAGCTGTCAGATACACACACACACACATAGATAGTTGGACAGGCAAGAAAAAGGATGTGAAGTTACGTACCCCATCATGTACAAGAGCTTTCCAGGAGTGCTCCACCTTCTTGATGAACCTGAAAATAAGCATTAAAAATCACCTGTTTAATTATAATAATCATACACATACCATATACTGCATGTCTATGGCGCCTGATGGCAAATTCCAAACTCTACTGATATCAATACATACATGTATAAAGTATATGTTAAATATGTTAAATCAGTAGAGAAACATAAACAAGTGTGTACAAAAGTACAAATGAAAAGCTTTTTTCAAATTAATTTTGTGATTTTAAAATGTTAATTTCTCAATGTTACTGCATCACAATTTTAAATTTTGTTAATTTTAAAGTCTAAATGAGCCCTCTGGTGATATGTGTCTGTATACAATAGAGAGGAACTAAAGCCTGAAAAGTGTGTATGTCTGTATGTGATACTGCGCTCACCTGTAGGACTGAAGGATGTCGATGATTCCTAGAAAGATGAGAAGGTTCTCATCTTTATGTTTGGCTGGAATTCCACCAAATCTGGAAAAAAAGAAGCATTCATGAATTTTACAGTTTTTATAATGGACCTTTTAATTCCCTTTAGATGTTCTTAATAATTAGTTAATTATAGCTGTAGCACACTACACAGTGAATGAATTAGAAGTGTGTTAAGTGGATCATTACCATAAAATAACTGTCACTATGTTACGTACTATAATGCTTTTTCACGCTGCATAAAAACATCTCTGGCAATGACTTACTCTCAGCTGCTAAAAGAACTCCAATATAAAACCAAGCTGTGAAATGTGATGTTCTGTTCTCTATTTCTCAATATTACATGACATACAAAGACAAAAAAAAAGGGAATAGTGTACAAAGAAACTTCAAAAGCTTTTCTCACGTGTCGTCATCAGCCACTGGTTCGGGGTCCTTAACATTCCCCTGGATGGACTCAAGGGCGGTGGAGTAAAGGACTTTCTGTCCTTTCCTGCTGTCACATCGGCTTCCTCTGCCCAGCGGCTTCCGGTCCAAAACGTGAATCCCCAGCAGGAGACTGTAGTCCATGATTTTAAAGCTCTCCAGGACCTGATGGAGGACAGAAACTCAGAAAGTAAGCTACTCCATTTTAGGAAATTAAACTAAAAGATAAAAAAAAAATAGGAAAGTTAAAGTAGCACACATTAACAACTGCTTCATTTAGTGGCTGAAATAAAAAGTCACACCTTTTCCACTTACTTTTCATCTACCACCATTATCTAACAGCTAACAGTAACTTCCCAGTGTTAAAGTTGACGAGGAGGGTCTGTTTGCACTGTGTGCCAATACAGCGCTACATACCTCCACAAAGAAACAATAGAATGTCTCTCTAAAAAAGTTATTTTTTGGAATTTTTAGATCTTCAAGCTGTCTCATTACAGTAGCATAGTAGCATAGTAGCAAAAATGTTTTATGCATAATGACATATTTTAGTGAGAAAATACTAGATCGGTAGGTTTAGTATGTTGTATGGCATTGGGACTGACACTTCCTTCCTTCCTTCCATCAAGCATGACCTCTGACCTCTATATAATGCAGTGCAAGTCAAAAGAGAATTTCCCTATGGCTGTAAATGGTGTCAAACTGTGATTATTTATTTAGTATTATGTCACTTTCTTTTACCAAGAGATATTATCCATTTAATAATAAGTATTTGACTAATGTAACGAAACAAGACTGTGAATGGCAAAATAACATTTTAACCACCCACAGTTAACTTTTCTTAAACAAGCTTGTTGACCTCTCTTCGACATCCACACGGGTCCCAACGGGATTAAACTCGGATCTGAACAACCAAAAGTACAGTACGTCTCAATCCCTCTGACCAAACACTGATGTCATGAGGTAGCTCTTGTAAACAAAGGGCCCAATAAGAGAGAGCCAGATGGGCCAGTTTGTGCTCCAGAGTCCAGCTGCTCAGCCTGATCACGAGTCAGGTGCTCTGCTCTGCTGGGCGTTAATCCTCCATCAAGTGGCCACTGTTGTTTCACACTAATGAAATAACAGGCAGGCGCTAATGAGGTCACCATAACAGCCTGAGATTGAGCAAAGGGAGCGTGGCTCACTGAAGTGGGCTGTCCCGGTTATACAATGTTATTGAAGGGTGCGGTGGCCACTGGCTGAATTCAGTTCAGGTTGTATCGAGGAAAGATGTAAACCCTCTGTGAGCGTTCTTTGTGCTGAAATGATAAGTCAATAACAATGCTATTTATCAAGCAAAACTTCTAGACATTGTCTGGTTTCAGTTTCTCAAGTGTGAGAATTTGCTACATTTCTCTCTTTATATGACTGTAAATTAAATAACTTTGGGTTTTGGAATGTTGGTTAGACTAAACAAGACACTTGAAAATGTCCCTTTGGGCTTTGGGAATTTTTGATTTGCATTTCTCACAATTCTTTGTAATTGCATAGAGAATGTTTTTATTATAAAGTAATTGGTAATGAAAATAATAGTCCATTGCAGCCCTTGTCTCATTCCTAATAACATAAAGATATAAGTTTAAACATTATAAAAGCATGCTACCAAACACCTTGATGTTTGACTGTCTCTAAACTAAACTCTGCTACCTGCAGATTTCTCCTGTTGGCCTAAGGTTGTTGCTGTCAGTTTGCCACTCAGTATGATCAACGTTGTATCTGGACCCCTATTGTCAGTTAATTTGATGAATTCATGGTCCCCAGGGATGAACCTTAAGGGTTTTTAGGGGCCTCTGTGGGGTTAAAATTAACTTTGACCAACACTTTGGCCCATGAAAACGGATCTAAAAAACTCAGGGCTGTTGTTGGAAGAACCTCAATCTATTTATCGCACTGTCATGGAGACTAATACCATCTCCTAATCCAGGGGTTCTCAACCTTTTGCAAGCTGGGCCCCCCCAAAGCTGGTTCATTGCAGTTTATGCTTTATTATTGTTATTATTACTAGGCCTAATAGTAGGCATATCATCTGCATTTTTTACAGAAGCTTGCAGGTAGGCGATGTTAATGTGAGACCTGAGCCTGCTTTGCCTTGCAAAGATCCTCAATTCTTGGCGCAATGTCTGCGCGATTCATTTGACTGCAGGCTGACTGCTGTGCGAGGTTACAGAGAGACTGACCGGCATGGTGAGTGCTTTGTACGGAGGGAGGGGCTCACGGGCACAGTAACTGCAGAGTGATACTTGCTTTCAAGTCGGGTCTCCAATAACACCAGAAAAAGTCGCTAGATTTGTTGCTGGTCGTTTTTGACAAAAAAAGTCGCCAGGAGGATTTGGAAAGTCGCCAGATTTAGAGAGAAAGTCGCCAAGTTGGCAACACTGGCTATGACGCGTGGGCGGGCCCCACCGGTTGAGAACCACTGCCTTAAAGCATCCAATTAGCAAATGTCATTCAGGGCACGTTATTTAAGCTGCTTTAGCCTGCCTACCTTTGCTGCTTCCTCTGCAAGATGCTTTGCAACCCACCTTCACCCCAGCTCCTCCTTTTATGCTGTATCTGATTTAATCAATGTCATTTATTTTGCCATTGATGTCCAGAAACTGAAGGCAAGCAGAAAACCAGGACACTGCAATGCAATCTCCTATGGCTGGTGAATGACCTGTTGAGGTTACTCCATTCCATACCAAGACCTGTCCCTGAAAGAAAAACACATCACAGGCAAAATCAAGAAGGAGTGGCAGATACACAAAAACAAGCAGACATGAGGGACAACTCAGAAAATGATTCAGGTGATGACTGCAACTCAGCTTAGTGGTTAAGGATACCTGCATAAAGGACTGCTTACTTGCTGTTAGCAACTCACCATGCATCAGAGGAGTCCTACCCCAGAACCGCTAATAGAATACAAATGGAAGAAATGAAGCCTCAGCTGTCCCCACACCTGCAAGGAGAGAAAGTTACACTGTACCTGGATACTCACCTAAGCCTAATTCTCCACCTAAAGAAAGTGGAGCCAAGGAGAGGCAAGACACAGATGAAAACTAAACTGTCCTTGCCAGACAACGCTAGCTAAGATTTTCTTGATTTACTGCACCTTGACTTCAACCTTTACCTCTCTGTACAATTTATCCATTGTACAGAGTATCCATTGTTCTACTTGTTTCTCTTCCTGTTCCAATGCCCACAGTGTTTTTAGGAGTTGTATTTTGCTGGCTATTACTTGTTGTAGTTGGTGTCATTTATATGGGGGTTAAATAAGTTACATAAGTAATGCTGGGTTAAAAAAAAATAATGCCATATTTGGAATAATTTTAGAGTTATACCTTTTTTGAGCGACAGTATTTTAATGACGGATGTCGTTTAGTTTGAATTAGTTTTCATGTGTTGGACAAGGTAGAGGAGCAGAAGAAGGACCTCATTGTGTGCATCCTTACTGTGTTGGAGAATGATGATAGTTAAGCTCTTGCAAGTGTCGTAAACGTCACTGTTATTGTATAAGAAGAAATTGTTGCTTTAAACCTCCAGAGCTGAGGTATGTTTGAAACCATTCAGAAATTTTTAATGGAACTTGAAACAAATCTGCAGTTCCAGTGTACTTGGCCTTGTTGTAAAGGATTTAATATGTATTGTGATAAAATAAAAAGTTTTGAATTTAGACGTTGCATCTGTAATCATTAATACATATTACTAGAAGTACTAGAATTAAAAGTCTCTATAATGTGACATTATAAGTGACATCAGATTGGAGTTGAGTTAGGGGAACTTAGAATTGAAAGTTGAACAAACTCAAAAGCTTAAAAGGTTTGGTTTAATTGCATAACTTGCCTTAAAATTTCTTTAAAAGTTCTCCCAACCTTTTCTCTTTTATCAACCACCTGCCATATCTGTCTATGTACTAATTTGAACTACAGTCCAGGGCCCTTGCTGCATATAAGAAGGCTCATGATGCTGCATCATAAGTGTTGACTGCAGAAGGACACCAGACAGCTGGGTATGACAGCCTCAGCAATGCCCTTTGATGTGCTAAGGTATGCTACGCCAGGTGCAAACAACCAACTGTCAAGACCTACAAGGTCATGGTGAAACACAAAGTGTGAAGTTGTTAAAGTCAAAGGGCTTGTGTGTTTCTTGAGCAGGTCTTCAGGTGGTCCACTCAATAAACACATGATTTAAGGATCTCTTATGTTAACACGGCAGCTATTACAAACATTGATCCGTTGTCATTACTAATGTGAACATG